TTTCCTTAATTTAGTCCGTACGTTCCATTATTACACATCCGTCTGAAATGTCTTTTTAGCATTGTTCAAGTCCGAGATGACATATTTTTTGTCCCGTACGTTTTACATAACCCCACTCCATTTATGGTCATGCGTGCTGGATACTGACAAAAATCTGGTTATTGGTCAGCTGCTTTACGTAACTCACTGGTTAGCAGAACGACGAAGCACGCAAGAATGAAAAATACAGCATGTATTTCAGCACTGAGTCAAGCACTTTTCAAAAAAGGGCAAACCTATCCAGAGGCGTAAGGATATCAGCATCAGAAGGAAACTGCGTGTTCCCTACAAACAACCGTGAGATTAGTTTTAGTGAATATCTGTGCATGTTAATCGCTCTGAATCATCAGAAGATATCAATAAGTTAGTAGTACCTGATTATTTTCACCTTTGTACTCTGCTGCTAATGCATCCTACAGATAAGAAGCGAAACTCACAGGTCCGCAGTCGTTGTAATGCTGTCAGAATCTCTGCTTTCATCCAAGAGAGGCGGCTGCCTTCGCCTGGACATATCCTTTAGTGACTCTCAGAGGATCTTGAATAACTCCACAGTTGAGCGGCATCAACGGAGAGTCAAAAAATCAAGACCTAGACTTACACAGTCAGAGACGACCCCGAAAAGAGCCTGGGGCTAATAGTGTATGGACTAAGGGAATGGAAGGTTGAAGAGCCATCACTGGCGACGCATCTTGAGTTCGACAGTATGGAAGGGAGGCGATACACGACGTCACTAGAGGTCGCTAAGATAGTCACGGAGACAGCCATAAAGAAAGAAAAAAATGACATAATGACAGAAGGATTTTCGTAGCGATATAAGCGACAGAAATTTCCTTCTAGAAACTAGTGGAGTGACGGGGTCTGACCAAGTTTCGAACAGTGAATCCAGGATATCCAAGATGTCAGTCGCTCTTTCTCAAAAGAGATAGCAACTGTGATGCCGTGAGCATGTAGTCAGGAAGTAAGAAGAGATTATAATACAGGAAGTCAATGGGCAGAAGAAAGGAACAGAAGGGTCGTTTACTTTGAACATCTAGCATTGCTACGTCATGGAGACTGCTCGACTGGTTGAGGCCCGGGAACAGAAAGAAAGCTCCTGAAACTCTTGTCCCCGCAACCTAAAAGTTAGAAAAACAGGTCTTGAAATCAGATGTTAATATAGGGTGACCGAGAAGCAAGAACGTAGACTAAACAATTTTCTGAACAACCTTTAAGGCTCCTTCTACTGAAAGGTTGGGCAAAAATCATCCTGCTTTCACCTGTTATAACTATCTTTGAAAAGCAAGAATTGTTGCGGATGCATGAGTTACTTCAGCCGCACAACCTATGCATTGTCACCATAAATTATTCCATGCGTATTTTTCAAGTAGGATTGCGCATTTCCTGACACTGTGAATCAAAGCATGATGCACGAAAGAGATTTAATTCTGCAATGTTATACATAACGCAATTTATGAAAATATCAGATACTGCATTACCAATGCATTACCAAGGCCGCAGACACATTAGAGGACAATGCAAATCACAACACAGCACAGAAGGCGGCACATTCTCAGAAAAGGAAAATGACGCAAAATATAATCTAATAATATCTGGGATATAATTTAATCAAGTCAATAATATCCTGAACAATTCTTCCACTGAAACGTTAGTTGGACTTAGATGACGATGACGACAATTTTAAATAATAAACTAAAATTAACTTCTTAACCCCGCGCAACAGCAGGAAGACTTGCCTGCAGAGCAGAAGGGTACGGATATCACTATCTCTGTACATGAAATTACACATGCTGTGAAAAGCTTGAAAAATGGAAAAGCTGCTGAAATTGACGAAATCCGCTCTGAGATGCTCAATGAATTAGGCGAACAAGACATATGCTGGCTACCACGTGTCTGTCAAACTGCGATTACTGCGGGAAAGACACCAGCGGACTGGAGAACGGAAGTTACGGTACCCCTGTTCAAGAACGGAAATC